AGAATCTTGCTTGCATGTGAAATCAATGACACTGTTCTCTAGTTTCCACACTCAGTTGGGTCACCTTTCTTTGGAATGAGAACAAATATAGATCTCTTCCAGTCAGTTGGCCAAGTGGTTGTTAGGAAAGGAGTTCATCAAGGGTGTGTCCTTTCTCTATAGATTTTTAATATATATGCAGAACAGATCATTCAAGCGGACGGACTTTTCTGAGGAAGAATGGAGCATCAGGAAGGAAGACCCATCAACAATCTATGTTGTTGTATATGATACAAACTTGCTGGCTGAAACTAAGGAGGACCTGAAGTGCTTGCTGCAGAAAGTCAAGGACTGTCGTCTTCAATGTAGATTGAAGCTCAAAATCAAGAAGACAAAGATGCTCACCATTTGGCCAACTGACAACACCATTATGGATGGAGAGAAGATTGAGGTTGTGAACAATTTCAGCTTGCTCAGCTCCACAATCAACACTTTGGCACCAGCAGTAAGAAAATCAAAAGACAAATTGCATTTTGAAAATCTGCTGTCAGGATCCTCTCCAGAATATTGAGGGAAAAAACCATGTCAATCTAGAGACTAAGGTGTGCCTGATCCAGACCATGGTCTTTACAATTATTTGCTTTGTATAAGAGAGCTGGACAATGACTAAGGATGACAGAATAAGAATTAATGCCTTTGAGCTGTGGTGCTGAAGAAGAGTCTTGAACATACCATGGGCTTCCAAGGAAACAAATATGTCTATCTTAGAGAAGGTAAAACCAAGTCTCTCCTTGGAGGAGAGAATTTTGAATCTCTTTCTCAGACACTTTGGACACATGTTTGGAAGGATGGAAGGACAGCACAGGAGAGGAATACCCATGATGAGATGGATTAATGCAATAACTGGGACACTGAGGGTAAGTGTGTTGGAGTCAGTAAGACTGGCTCAGGATAGGGTAGGCTTCAGAGCTGTTGTGCACAGATTCACTGAGTCACAGGTGATTAGATGGCACATCACAACCTTTGTTCAAACATGGTTCAAAACTAGAAAGGGCATATGTCAGGGATGTGTCCTGTCTCCATACCATTTCAACCTGTATGCAGAACATGTATCTATCCGGGATGCTGGGCTCTATGAGGAGAAATGTGGGATCAAGATTGGTGGAAGATCTCTCAACAATGTGCCATACGCAGATGACTCAGGAGGACCTGAAGCACTTGCTGCAGAGGGTCAAGGACTGTAGCCTCCAATATCAATGTCAAGAAAACAAAGATTCTCACCACTGAGTCAATTGGCAGCATCTGAATAGATCATGGTGAAGAGAGTTTGCTTGGCTCCACAGCCAACACTCTTGGCACCAGTAGCCGGGAAATGAAAAGATGTATTGCCATGGGAAAGTCGGCTGTTAGGGACCTCTCCAAAACACTGAAGAACAGTGCTGTCACTCTGGAGATTAAGGTGCACCTGATACAGACCATGGTCTTTGCTATCACTTGTTATGCATCAGAGAGTTGAACAATGACTAAGGAGGATAAAAGGAGAATTGATGCCTTTGAGTTTGGTGCTGGAGAAGAGTATTGAGAGTACCATGGACTGCTAGGAAAACAAACAGATTCATCCTGGAGAGGGTTAAACCAGGTGACTCCTTGGAGGCAAGGATTCTGAGGCTCCGTCTGACATACTTTGGACATGTTGTAAGGAGGGACCGGTCCTTGGAGAGGGACATCATGCTTGGGAGGGTGGAGGGACAGCGCAGGAGGGGAAAGCCCTCTATGAGGGGGATTGATTCAGTGATGGGTAACCGGGATGGGTGTATCGGAGATGGTGCGATTGGCACAGGACAGAGCAGAGTTTAGGGCTGTTGTACATAGGGTTGCTATGAGTCACAAGTGACTAGACGGCACATATCAACAACAAGAAGAAGTTCTTATATTCTCGTACTTCTCAGTTATTAATAAATTGTTATGACACACAATGAAATGCCATTTTATTGTCAATAAATCACAGATAAACATTCTTATTAGTAGGAAATATTTTTTCTCTCTAGTTACTCTTAAAAATTTGTCTTTCATTTAATTTTTAAAATCCTTGCCTCCAAGGAGCAACCTGTTTTCATCCTCTTCAGGATGAACCTGATTGTTCTCCTAACAGTCCACGGTATATTCAATACTCTTCTCCAACACTACAACTCAAAGACATCAATTCTCCTTCTATCATCCCTAGTCACTGTCCAACTTTCCAATGTTTAGCAAGTAATTGCAAAGATGGCGGCCCAGATCAGATGCAGACTAGTGTCCAGACTGATATTTTTGCTCTTCAGTATTTTGGAAAGTTTCCTTATAGCAGATTTTCGCAATGCAATTCGTCTTTTGAAATCCTGGATGCTGTTACTGAGAGTTTATTATGAAATCAAGCAAACTGAACCAGTTAACAATCTGTCTCTTCACCATCTATCATGATTCTGCGAGAGAATTCTGGTGAGAATCTTTGTTTTCTTGATGTTGAGCTTTAATCCATATTGGAGGCTGCAGTCCTTGACCTTCTGCAGCAAATGCCTCAGGTCCTCCTCAATTTTGGTAA